CATGGCTGCAAGGCAGTTCAGGACCCGAAATATATAACAGCCAAAACTCCAAACACGCCTCAAGAAATACAAAGAAACTTCAAGGCATTCATATGGTGCGCCTCAGACTTGCTACATTCCAGGATAGGATCTTCAGCTGCGCTTTGTGAGCATAGCAAACACATTGTCTGGCTGGATTTGGTTGTTGGTGCCTTAATCTCCGCATGAAAAACACCCTTCACTGAGTGCTCCAAAGGTGAAAATCCAATCCAAAGGTTTGAGTCCGGAGGTCACAAGTCCACTTATTGACTACCATGTTGAAAGATAGTGAAAGTGAGATTCTGGACAGAGATACAAGTACAGGAACAGAAGATGGACGACTCATGGACGGCGTGTTTATTGAAACTTGGTAAGTGGCAAAGAAGGTACACCTTCAGCAAAACCAACAAAACGTGTGAGGCAATGCTGGCAGCACATCCACAAACGCTTGCAACATGTCTCGAATGTTGAAGCGCTCAACGCATGCGTGAATGAACTGGCCCGTTTGGCTATGTGCGCGCGCGCGCGCGTGTGTGTGTGGGCGCGTGCAGCGTTTGATACCACGTAGATAGATTCAAGAAAAAAACCAACTGCCACGGGCACAGGGAATCTTGCTAGCCATGCCCCAACAAAAACGCTCACCTTGAGTTCGTGTTGATGTGAGGTAATTCATTCATTCGGGGTCGTAAGAGGTAGTCACTTTCTCGAATGATAGTTTCAGACTGATGGTTTTTCATTTCATACCGTTAATGGCTGCTGCTATCCTTTCTTCAGTCTGCTGGTTGATTTGCGCTCATTCTTACGGCATGAATTGGACCTGTTCCAAACCGACGCTACCTGAGAGTCTCCATTTGTACCCTGTCTCGCTGCGTCGAGCCAGTCTGTGCTGCGTGGCCTCGATGCCTTGCATAATTACCTTGTGTTACGCGTGGTTTGTGCTGTGTGGGTCGACCAAGTAAAAAACATTTCATCAGTTTAAGACCATGTGACGTAACACGCCCTTGACGCATGGAATTTCAAGGAATTTAAGACAAATCAGAAATATACCATTTGAACTTGAATGTTGAAAAAATTGCCAGTGAGTCGCTTGCGTCCGAAGGTATTATGCCGACTATGGTACTATTGCGGCTTGTACAAACTCTGACATAATGATGTGCTTGAATCCCTGTCTGCTCAAAACATTGCAAAGTGCATTGGACCGCGGACTTTTGATGCGAGTTTCGAAATTGTCTCATATGGCCGTTTTGATCATGCAAAGGCCGGCGAATGCGATGGTGTCAAATGCTCATGAGTCAACAGGACTGCTCAACATCAGATTTCACACTGGTCTTTGTTGTCGATTCTTGCTGGAGTTGGAACCAGGGGGATTGACACCATTTACGCAAGAATTCGCGAAGATCGGCACTGAGTTTTGTTAACACATCGGCGAACTGAAGCCTTGTTGGAACGGCTGATGGGGCATGGTTTTGCTGACCACTACGTACTACGTATCTGAACCATACTCCGCTTGTCGCTAACTACTGGGTTTTCAGCTATCAAACAATCGAACAGGATCTTGGCACCTGTGCACAAAAACGAATTCAAACGAAGATCACCGTGAAACGCAGCCTTTTGATACAACAGCTCTGAAAGGACTAGGTTTGTATAACATGCACGATCAGATGCTTCATCACAAGCGCATACCTCGGGTGCCAAAGTTGAACGGCAAACACGAGGAGATCGTCCTGTTTTCCAGTCCAAAATGAAGTAATTGCACCTGGTCTCGGTCACTTGAGCTGAACATATTGTCACAACCAGGCCAAACTGTGACTTGTGGCATCTTGCACTTGCCCAGCTTGCATCTGATGTCACTATTGTGGATGCACGATTAGGTTGGACAGGTGGGAACATTATCCCACTGTCTGCAGTTTCCTTGGCAAAAGTGAGGCAATCATACAACTCTGTGTGCCAGAGATGTAGCTGCGCAGAGCTCGGGGCGAGTTTGTCCTCCAAGCCATTGTAGGCACCCGCATATAGATCGGAACTCTTTGCGCTCCTCATCAGTAAGTTGAGCTGGTTGTTGCAACCTTCCATGTTTAATCTTTCCAGGGGCGACTTTGCCAACAAAGCTCTTCTCAGTTACCTTGTAGGAGTACTTGCCGTCTTTGTAGATCATGGTGATCTCCTTGCCGCGATACTCGCCTGGTGTTTCAGGCGTCACCTAGGTGATGCTGCCCCACTTCAACATTGTCTCAAGCTTATCTAGTGCAAAGCCTTCTGAATAGACTGCTGCACGTCATCTACATGGACAATCATTAGAGCATCAAGGATGCCGTCCTCGCCCACATGGTAGTAGAGACACTTGTCATAGGAGTGTTGGATGAAGTCTTTGGCTTTGGCATCATTGTTCACTTTCTGAACCAAACTCTTGGCGCGTTTGGTAATCCATATGCGTTGGAGGTCACTTCATACAAGGGAGCCGTGTAGGCTTCCGCTGCTTGGATGATAGGATCCTTTGGTGGAGCCATGAACAGAGGAAGCCCTTGTCATTCAGATGTGTCTTGGTTGCCCTGCAGAAACGCCTTCTCAGCGTCTGAGATTGCGCCCATCCATGTCGAAGAGTCTGTTCGCTCCAGCTGATGCTATGCTCATGATGATGTATTCTGACAAACGTGTGGGAGTGGGACTGTCCCTTATCAGGTGCCTAAGGTCTGGATCTTAGCATCCTATGAGCAACACCCGGCATTTGGCTTTGATCTCGCCAACTCCGCGTTGTCGCGGTAGGCGGCACGTGATCGAAAGATTCTGCGTCGTAGATCTTGTTTGTTGGCCATCTCGATGCGGCGTTGTTTGCTGACCAGGTAGGCTGTGTATGCTCGTTTAGATTGTCGAAATGGACTGGATTAGTCAGGGTTGCCGTCCCATCCTACTGGTCGTTGTTGAACTTCGCCGGTGTCAAGGTATCCTAGATTGCTCATCAAGACTGTGGCTGCGGCGTTGTTTGTCTGCTCGTTTGGTTGATCGAGCAAGGCAGGTGTTGGTGGTGCTTCAATTGCCTGTCCAGGTGTTGACGCTGCATCAGTTGCTTGTTCCAATGCTGGTCTTTGTTCTGGTTGAGGTCCAGATCTTGAAGGTGTTCTGGATCTGGCGCGTGATGTTCTTGTTGTTTGTGGGTTCATGCCAAAGTCTGCCCGTGGTCCAAAGAATTGGCATGTTGGTGAGTTGATGTTGATGGTTTGTTGGTTGTAGATGTGCTGCTCAGCGTTTTGATGGCTTTCTTGGTGTACATTGCCTTGTTGGAAGTTGTGTTGTTGTTGTTGTTGTTGTTGTTGTTGTTGTTGTTGTTGTTGTTGTTGTTGTTCAATATGGGTGCTTGTGCACTGGTGTGGTATTTGTGCATCTTGCACGCGCATGCCAGGCTGTATGTTCTGTGGCATGGTTGCCATATTGTGGGGTAATTATTCGTTGGTAGTGTCTGGGATGTGTTGATTGCCGGTATCTGGTGGCATCTCTTCGTCATCTGCTTCGATGGCCTGTTGTTCTGCTGTTACGGTTGGCGGTGGTGGTGCAAGTGGTTGCATTCGAAAGTTGTGTCAGCCATGGCGTCATCATCTGGCGGATCTTGGATTTCATCACTCCAAAGTCCTCGAGTGATGTTGTCTTCTGCCGGTTTGAGCAACTGCATATCTTCAACAGTTGGAGTCCAAGATTCCCAGCATGTTGCCTCACGCACTTGCGTCGAGCAGACGCGAATGGAGTTCCTGCCGACTTGTATCTACATAGACTTCCGGTCAAGGTCAAGCGCAAGGAATCTTCCAAGGCACCATGCTCCACGTTTATGTTGTCTGGCCTTGGCATTCTGTCTCCACAACGCAACTGCTTGACCAGGTTGTAGTCCACTAGGGTCGTTCTGGTTTCTGGTTTTGCGCATCGGTGCCCGGCGAACAGCTTGAGATACTGAAAATTGCGCCAAAGCAGTGACGGCTTCGGCTCTCAACAGTTCGGGTCGTAGAGCAAGTTGTTCTCCAGGCGGCATTGGAGAAATAGCAAGTGCTTTGTTGTCGGAAAGCAGGTCGCCAACTGGTCTGGGCATCCTTCCAAAACGGCTTGGCACGGAAACCTCCCGTGGCTGTAGGTGGAGTTGTGAAGAACAGCCACCAAAACGCTGTTGAGCTGGTCAAGTTGGATCACGCCATGTTGGTCGATGAGTCTCTCGGCCAAGAAGTTCTCATCAGAGCATTGCGTCGTCCAATCTTACCTAGCTTCCAAGCTTCTTCTGTTGGGATGATGTCAAATTCGATGCCAAAGTTCTGATGCCATTCTTGGTTGCATCCAAGATACGCTGTATCAGCGTCCACAGTGCAGTCCAAGAGGTCGGTACCATATCTCCTGCGTCACGCTCAGCACGTGATCAGGGCTGCGGCTGGTCAGAGCTTTGGCGGCATGGTAGTTGGTTGACATGCGCACCATTCCAAGGACTGGTATCGCTCGACCGCTCAGCATCCTGATAAACACTATGTCTGACTGAAGATGTTCGCCAAAAGCCCCTGCATACCTGGTTGCTGTTGCGGTTGATGATGTAGGTAGCTTGATTGGCTTAATCTCAAACAAGTTCCACATCGCAGACCGTCCAAGCCGGCAAGGATCTTGCTGTCAAGCTTGCCTGCCTTTGGTGCATGGCTGAGATTGCAGTGGAATCTTGCAAGCGAGCTTCACATTTCCCTTGTCATTGGTGGTCCACATTCAAAGTGGATGTCTGTGTTCAAGCCTGCAACCTTGGTGGTAGTGGTGATTTCACGGTCACCTTGAAACTGTGGTTGGTCTGGTGAACCTTCTGCCGCATTGCCAAACAAGAAAGCTGCCACACGAACTGGTGGTGAAAAACGCTGCTTTGGGTGTGGAACTGACACCATGTCTTCATGCTCCAGGGCAAACTTTCCATTGACAACTCGGTATGCGCATCCTCTATGACTCTATGAGTAAAGGGAATGTCCTGAGTCCATCTACGCGCACTTGGAGCCCACACCACCTGAATTCTGCTCAAAGTCCATGGAACCAGTTCCTGGATCTGCTGGTAGAGAATGTCGTTCTCTGAGAGTACATACGGTGTCTTGTATTGAACCGCTGCTCTGCCTCGTCCAGCACTGGATTCCAGTCCTCTTCCAGATTTGCAGGTGTAGTGTAGTAGGCTTCGTGCTTCGTGGTCAGAAAGCGCTGAGGGTTTCTCAACCCGGCTTCCGTGCGAAGCCTTTCCAGGATAGCGCGTGCGAGTCCGTGGCAGTATTCACCAGAAGCCTTGGTATGTTTACCTTGGATGGGCCTGGTGTGCATCTTTTGCTCTGGAGTCATCTTCAAGGAGAGCCTTTGCACAAGTTCTGGGCTGTTGGTGATGAAACATGATGAAACTAAACGATGGGCCTTCTGGATAGGTTCACAGTCCAAATTTTCAGTGCTGTAAGCTCCGGCACCGCAGTCAACTTCAATGGCGTCCGGATGTTCGCGCAAACATTTGACTCTAGGTTCCTCCCAAATAGCTGATTTCACTGGATTTTCTCCTAAGAACAGTCTGCCGTTGTAGAGCTGCTCTGCGCACAGGTCACTGCCAAGGACAACCAGTGGGGCGTTGTTCATCGCGCCTGGCATGCAGTTCATCCATGCGGTGACTGTAGTTCATGTTCTGGTTGAAGAGTGAGTGTTCTGTGCAGTTCCATGCGACCAAAGTCAGGAGTGGCTTGAATCGCCTCACCGTTTGGCGAAGTGCCTCGGCAGTGCCCGGGTCTGCGAGATCTTGGCCGTAGATGAGATCAAAAGGTTGCAAAGCGGAAAGTCCGTAATGTTGCGCAAGGTCGGTCACGGTCGCCTTGCCTGCAAAAACTTCAATCAAGTCAAGGAGGTCAACCTCCGCACCTGCCATCTTGTAGTCATGATGTGTCGCAAGACATTTCAGATATGCATTGGTCTCTCGCTCATAGTTCCTGCGACAAGCTGACAAGCTCTCAAGTAGCCGGTCAGCCAGACTCCATTGCCTGCTTTAGGAACATTGCCATGCCTGAGTGTGTTCATGGATCTCCACCAGAGCCCAATCGAAATCCAATTGGTCCGCCGCCATGCTGGAACTGTTCCTCTTGCTCTTGGAAGTAGCCCTCTGCTTGGGACGGGTGCCGCGTGGAGCAGTGGCGTCGTCGATAGGCTCTTGGCTAGTGCCGTGGATGCGGATCCCTTGTCCTTGGATTGGTTCAAACTCCAATCCTTCAAACCCATGCTGGCTGCTGGCGTGTAGCCTTTGTCCTTGAAGAAGATGGTTGCCGTAGATGAGGACGGTAAAGGCAGCCGCCGCTGTTTTGGCGAAGCTCTTGTCATTGTACACAATTGGGCGGCCTCGTCCCATACCCACTTCTTTCCGCACAGCAGGCACTTGCTGTAGCGGCCGTGTCGATTCCCCGACCGCTGGATTTGCTCGTGTGGACGGGCTGCTACGGCACGATCGTGTATAGGCCATCTTCTCTTCCATCAGCATGGGATCCTGGCAGTGCAGCCAGGACCTTGGACGGATCCTCATACGAACAGCATGCATGGATCATCACTCCTGCCCAAAGAAGCTCTGCTTCTATGAGAGCCCCCCATGAACCTCCACCATGCTTGCAGCCACTTTGGAGGCGCACGAACTGCTTCCTTCTGATGGTGCAGCAGAGAAATCAGGCTTGGATTTGAACATTGCTGAGTTGATACAAACAAAGTCGGGATCACATTCATGGGCATCTGAAAAACGTGAAAGAGTGCTCCACTGCTCAAACTCATGTGCATGTGTTGCAAACTTGGCTATGTCAATCGCAAGGGTTCCACTAATCACAACGATTGGAACTTCACGCTGGATAGCTGCCAAATGAGCTCGCTGTCTGAGCAAATCCAGCGTCGCTGGCAGTTTCTTCGCCAGAAGTGTACGTTGCTGCCTGAATGCGGACTGTCTTTCGATGTCTCCGGGATGCACGTGCCCAGCAAACTGCATGTCTGAGGAGTTGAATCAAAACAAGCAGGGAGATACGCATGATGCTTACTGTACTGAGTGGGTCCATGTCCAAACTCAAAAGGTTCCCGACAGTCACTCACCATAGGGTGCAAACCGAAGGTCTTGAACATAGGCCTGCCAGGATGCAAACCACGTTGAATTGCAGCTGCAACATGTTCTCTGGCACGCCGCGTCAAGGAGACTGCGGCCTGGCTAAATGAATCAATGTTGGTGGCATAGATCTGGTGCAATTGGTCATTAAGGGAACTAACCACGAAGGTGAAATATGTACCGAAGGTTGCATCTTTAGGCTTATCGATGTTGGCACTACGGTCGATGCCGTCGGAGTGCAGTCGGAGTGCACCACGGTCATCACCTTTTTGACTACAGCTTTACGATCGCCAACTTTGTGGCTGGTGTTGGGCGGCTTAGCATTGCTCTTCCCTGCACCTTTGGTGTCGGTACTCGCAGCAGCCGAAGTAGATGCATGGGGACATTAGAGATCACCTTGCCAATGTCCTTTTACACCACATGCAGCACAGTGGCTTTCTGCCTTGGTCCGCTGAATTTGCGTCCAAGTCGAAGTCCGGATAGTCTCCTTGCTGTGACCGTCAAGCAGTGGGCGGCTATGTCCAGATCAGCATCATCTATGTCTCCTACATCTTCTTCCTGTTCAGCAGATGCCTCGTCTCCTTCGGCTGGTTCTTCATAATCTTCACCATCAGCGTTGGGTTCATGCTCTTCGTCTTGCAGCTGTTCTTCAGCTTCCTCGGGCGCTTCAGCCAAGTAAGAGGTGCGGACATAGGAGTTGCCCTTGCCCTTGCCGTCGGATCCTTTACCCGTCTTCAAATTGCCAGTCTTGCCGTTTCCTTTCCCATTACCCTTCAGCTGTTGAGGGCGTGTATCTCGAGGTGGCTGCTGTGCTCCATCGCGCCTGTTGCCCTTGTCAAACTCACGGTACTGCGTCGTATATGGTGCAGCTCGATGTTCAGGAAATTGAAGGATGGCAGCTTCTTTGATGTCTTCGTAGTGCAAGCGCTGGCCTGATCCAAAAAGGATCATGCGCTACTGCTCCAAGTTCAAACGAAGACGATCAAGGAGTCGGGCTCCTCTGCTCTCACTATCGTACATCATGTCTATGCTAATGCCAATGGCCTTCAGCGACCTTTCACATCTGCGATACCGATTGCAGAAACTCCGCGCAGATTCCTGGGTGTTCCTCTAGATGGTTTCGAAGTCCCAGAGGTATTGCCTCTTCAGATACACTTCGCGGATCTTCAAAGGCTTTCAGAGGTGCTCCAGGCTAAAGTCTATCCCAAGAGTTGCTGTCAATTTTCTAGAGGTCTGCCCACTCGAGTTCCTGCTCCATCTCGCCCTTTAGACTCACATAGAGTTAAAAGGGCAGCCTCGCGAGGAGGCAAAGACGCCATTCTAGGCGTCTTTCCCATTTCGGAAACGCCCTCAAGTCTGTGGTGGAGTAGTGCCGCACAGGAGGAGCAGGTGGTTGGCCGCTTCTGTATTTGATTCCCGGAAGAGGGCCTTTCTCGATGTTCCAGTCAGAATATTTATCTTTTCTCACAATATCATTGATTCCTTTCAGCATGTGATCACGCCAAGCATCTGAGTCAGAACGCTTACGAGATGACTTCGCGATTGGACTATCATGTAGGTGAAGATTGGCAGAACGAGGAAGGCCTCCTGAAGGAGGAAGGTGAGGACCAGGATCACCTCCGGTATCTCCCGGGGGATTGCCCTCTGGCACTACCGCGAGGTCGCGCTCGTTCAGAAACCATTCCGGCCGCCTGTCGTTCTCGCCTTCGCTGTCGTCGGCTAGCCTTCACCTGCACGGTGTCAGGGTCTACACACGGATCATCGGTCATTCGCTCAGATTCAGCGTGTCGCTCTCGATTGGGCTCATGCGTGTATCCTACGAAACCAGCAGAAGTATTATTTTGCTTCCATGCCCTTGGGCCTTCCATTTTAAGCCTGCAACATTCATTCACAAAATCATATGGTTATGCCGGTTATGCCTTGGTTTTATTTACTATCCTGGGCTAACCTTTGCTCAACGGGCTGCAAACACATATTTTTAATGTAAAACATTGAGCTGGGTGCATGGGTTGGAAGCGGCCATGGTGGCATTTTCCATTCACATGTTGAAAACACATGGGCACTGTTTGGTTTGGAAAATAATGCTGTGGCTACCAAATAATACATTGTATTAAAAAAAATGGTCACATATTGTTGTAATCACATGTGTTGCCTACTAATGCCATATGATGGCACCCTACTGGGATTGAATCCTACTGAGTTGCAACAAGGACAAACCATGATCATGTTTTTTTTGCTTTCTGCATCATGACGCACTTGGTTTCATAGTGTTGCTGCCTTCATTAAGACAAAAACCTGCAAAATTCACATAATCATATGTTTATGTATGGGTTTTATTACCTACCCAGTGCTGACCTGTGATCAAAGGGTTAGAAAAAAAATATATATTTTAAAAATTGAGTTGGGTGCTTGGGTTGGAAGCTGCCATTGTGCATTTTCCACTCACATGTTGGAAATACATGTTACTTTTTGGTTTGGAAAATAATGTTGTGGTAACCAAATAATATATATATATATATTGTATTAAAAAAACCTGAACACATACTGTTGTAATCCATTTGTTGCCCACTAATACCAAATGGTGTTCACAAAAAAAACAATAAAACACATGAAAAAACATGTAAAAAACATGTTACAAAACAAAAAAACAAAAAAAACAAAGCTTGGGGTGCAAGTTTGGTGCAAGTTTGCTGCAAACTTGCACCCCTGGTGTGCAACTTTGATGCTAGTTTGATGCCACTTTGGTGCAACTTTGATGCTAGTTTGATGCCACTTTGATGCTAGTTTGATGCCAGTTTGATGCCACTTTGGTGACAGTTTCATAAGCTACTATGCTAGCTATTAGTTTTAAGTTACTTTCAATATACTATATCAAACTAGCACCAAAGTAGCATCAAACTAGCATCCAAGTGGCATCAAACTAGCATACAGGGGTGCAAGTTCGCAGCAAACTTGCACCAAACTTGCACCTGCTGATTCATTAAAAAAAACATGAAAAATCATGAAAAACATGAAAGAACATGAAAAAATCACACAAAAATCAAACAAAGCATAAATAAAAAATGTTGAACGTTGACATCATGATGATATTTTTCATGAGAAAAAATCATATGTCCAAACATTCAGAACCCACAGTTACCAGGTTTTGCAAAACTTTGACTCCACAGAGGTGGAACTATAGTAACTTCATAAGTGATATTGCTCTCATCTGAAGCTCTCCAGGTGTTACTTAGTAAACTGGAATGTTACTAACCTTTACAGGTGGAACTGTGGAACTATAGTAACTAGCACCTGTTGATCAAAATTTTGATGAAAAACCCATGAACGATCCATGAAATTTCATGAAAAATCTTTGAAATATCCACAAACAATCATGAAATATCCATGAAAGATCCATAAAAAATCATGAAGCAATAAACAATATAATAAAAACGAAGTCAAAGAAAACACAGAGCTTGAATGCCATCTATGGGCCAAAAATATTGGAGGCCCAAGTAAAAGGGATGAAATAGCTGCACTCCCGACTTTGGTCAAGGGGCCAAGGAAATGGAACCAAAAGAAATGACTGGCAACTATAGTGGGACAAATTTTTTGGAACCAAAGTAAAAGGGATGAAAAAACTTCACTCCTGATTTTGGGCCAGAAAAATTGGGAGGCCTAAGGAAGTGGAACTAAAAAATTGACTGGCAACTATATGGGCCAAAATTTTTGGAGGCCCAAGTAAAAGGGGCCCAAAACCTTCACTCCCGACTTTGGGCAAGAAAAATGGGAGGCCTAAGTAAATGGAACCAAAAAACTTGACTGGCAACTATGGGCCAAACTTTTTGAAGGCCCAAGTAAAAGGGGCCCAAAAACTTCACTCCCGACTTTGGGCAAGAAAAATGGGAGGCCTAAGTAAAATGGGAGGCCTAAGTAGATGGAACCCAAAAACTTGACTGGCAACTATGGGCCAAACTGTTTGAAGGCCCAAGTAAAAGGGACCCAAAAACTTCAATTCCGACTTTGGGCCGGAAAAACGGGAGGCCTTAAGTAAATGGAACCAAAAAAAATTGACTGGCAACTATGGGCCAAAATGTTTTGAGGCCCGAGTAAAAGGGATGAAAAATAATTCCCAACTTTGGGGAAAAATTCCCAACTATGGGCCAAAAAATGACTCTCTTGCCTCTCTTCTCTCTTCTCTTTTCTCTTTCCTCTTTCCCTTTTTTGTTTTAATTCTTCTCTCTTTTTCTTCTCTTCTCTTCTCTTTACTTTACATTGTGTTTTTGTCTCTTTCCTTTTTATTCTTGCTCCTGTCTCTTTCCTCCTCTGCTTCTTCTCACTTCTCTCTTCCCTCTTTTTCTTTTCCCTTTAAGCATTCACATTTTGCTGCCAAGGGCATCAAACTTTTAGGTTTTTTGTTG